ACCTCCCATGCCAGCTTTGGATATCACGGGAGTCTCAGCAGTGCCAAAGCTCTGCAGGTGACATTTGAGCAACATCACTGCATTAGATCAGACCCCTTCAAAAAAAAAAAACCAGCTGGATGAAGGCAGCCAGAGCAAAGTTTTTCCAGGGTAACCAGTAATCCCCAACGCACAAGTTGAAACCTTTGAAGGAATACAGGCACATATTCAGTGTCCTCTAAAAAGGTTTTCAAGCTCCCTTTGAAAAGCCCTGAGCTGTAAGAACACCTGAGATGTTTCTGCTGAGTATCACTCCTGGGGTCTGTCCGGTGTGGAACACAAAGTCCTGCCCTGACAATGCAGCCCCAGCTTTGTGCTCTCCCTCACCACCCCAGCACTGCTTTTCATCATTGTGAAAAGGGAAAAAGGCATCTCAATCAGCTGTCAGCATTTTTCATAATGGAAAGTTGAGGTGTGGCAGCAGAGGAAGCATGGTGCTCCCTATCCAAACCAACTACGTTAGCACTGGAGGAAACAGAAGTCAGCCACTTCCTCTCCCACCCCAGGTACCATGGGCCAGACACACGGACAAAGCTGATTTCTTGTGCTTCATCAGCAACATTTTTCACTTCATGCAGAGGAAATGACCTTTCAGAGGTTAAAAAGCACTTTGTCCAAAAGACCCATATGAAAAGTTTGCACTGTTATGCTGTAATTTATCAGCTAATTACCAGTGCAATTGGTAATTTCAGTCACTCCTAAACTGCTTAATCACAGAGATTCTCCCATATCTGGCTGTACATCCACCAGATCAATCACAATGTGCCATTGTATTATGCAGGGAGTTTGGGAACAGTTTTCCCAATTTCTTTAAAACTTTGCATGGAGCAGACTGACTGTCACACATTTACCCTAACTCTAAACCATTCATGTCACCAGTTTTTAATTCATAAGAGTTAGCTGCCTCATTAAATAAGACTTGGATGCCATGTCTCATTCCTGCTTAACCATACTGAGGAATCACTGTGTTGTGGGATGTACTGGTGGCAACTGGCATTGATATCTCAGAGGAAAACTTTGTGTCAGTACCCAATGAAAACCAGGCCAGTGCTAATACAGGTAACTAAATACAGGATAAACGTTGATTCTAGAAGTCTTTGGCATTGCAGCTGCTTATTAACCTCATTTACATAAAAATTTCACTTGGTTTTACTGCCCTATAATTAAATCTAAGACAGGTGGCCTATAAACCCAGCATGTGGAGGGTCCTGCAGAAAGTTTTCTTTGGGAATAGCATCAGGACACCTAGAAATGCCGTGTTGTCCCATCTCAGGCATCAGGAGGGGCTCTGGGAAGACCCCCCCAAAGCCACAGCACTATGTGCCAGAGCTCCACAACAAAATACAGCCCTCAGTCCTTTCTCTGGTAGGAAATTGGGAACCCTTGAGTAAAAGTTTCTATGCCAAATTCTCATCCAGGAATTTTCCCAAGCCCTAGGAGCCCCAATAATTCATACTGACTTGCTGCTGTTAGAAAAACTACCTGTGCCAGCTTTTCTACCAGCTGTCTCTGCAAATCTGTTATTTCTAGGACAGGCTTTAAATGTTCCCAGGCACACACCCCAAGGGCTCAGAGCATCAGCTCTCACACTGTACAGCCTCCCCCCTCCTGAGGGTTTGGGGTTATTTCAGAGCGAAATGGGAAACCCCAGCAGCGCTTTGGCTCACAACCTGCTCCAGATGGAAGGGCTCTGGGCAAGCAGGACATCCCCTCTCTTCTGGCAGGTGGGACAGATGATGGGAAGCATCCTGGAGCAAGGATCAGCTTGGGAAGTGCCTGGGCTAGGGGAGAAGTCGCTGTGCCAGTGCCCAGGTGAAACAACAGGTGAAACCTTGGGAAAGGTTTCCCACATACACATGCCAGAAACACAAAGGCTAAGGAGAAGGTGACTGACAAAGGCTGGTTTGTGCTTGTTGGGGTGGGTTTTAGTTGTGCTTAAAGCTGCTAAGGCAGGTAAGGGCTTTATGCTGGCAGAGAGGATTTGAGCCTGCCCTGCCAGCCAGTGCTGCCCCGTGACCACCTCTGCACCTGCCAGCTCCCAAACACAGCTGGGGACCTTGCTCAGACACACAGAGGTGTTTGTGGCTTCTCTGAGCTGCAACTCAAGCTCAGCTCTCCCACCAGGCTACCAAGCATTTTGTATTTTAAAAAGACTAAAAATCCCCCTCATCACAACAACACACGCAGCACCCCAAGGAGAAGGAATCCTACTTGCTTTCCTTTCTCCACAAAAATGTACTGATGATTAAATAGAGACTTGCTGGCAGCATCCAGCTCACACAAAAATAGCCACTGGCACACAAAATGTGACCCCCAAATACTGATCAAAGCAAACTGAGGCTTCCAGGGCTGATCAGCAGCACAAGTGCCTGTCACCTCACCCTGCCCTGCACGTCCCTTGCATGCAGCTCAGTGGACTAAGTTCTGCCTGGTGTCCAGATCTGTCACAGCATGCACAGTCCAGGGAGCCCTCAGAGAGGAGAAAAGCCCACATTTAGCCAAAAGAACCTGTGTATGAAACTCTTGGTAATTTTCACATCTGGAATATCAATGCAAAGGAGCTACAGAAATGTGAGTGTTCTCCATGAAACCAAGGTGGGAAATGTTAAGCACCTGTCCAGGAGTTAATTTTAATAATAACACAGGGCAAAAAGGTGTTTTCATGTGGCTGCAATAACAACAGGACTTTTGGGGGAAAATCTGAGAGAACAAATAGCATCCCTGGCAGGCAGAAGTGCTGCTACACCCTTTCTAGAAAGAACAGGGGAACAGAGGAAAACAATTTGCTCAAGACAATGCAGGATCTGTGATAATGATGGGGCATAAAATCTCACACCCAAGATTAGAGCCCTGTCCCACAGACACTGCAAAATCCACTTCCTCAGAGAAACAACCCCATGGAGTGCTCTGCACTGCTTCTGTGTTGCTCCACTGAGCTTGAGGTGAAGAAACGCAACCCAGGGTGGCTCAGAGTTCCTCCCTGTATGCAGGGGTCACACAGCCACTGTCTCTAGCTGTTTCCATAGCTTGGTGTGCTTAAAAAACTAAGAAAGCAAATTTGATTCCTGCAAGGCTGTGGTATCTGAGCAGCTGGGTGACCTTTAACGCTGTGTGCTCAGTCCTGCACTCACTGGACTCAGCCAGAGGCTTGAGCAGCTGAGAGCCAAGACTTCAGCACAAAAAGCAAAGTGTTACGCAACCCAACAAGGAAGAGCTGCAGGGCATTCCTTCAGCCATCTCTTTAATACACCCCAAATTACCACTAGCAAATTCCTGATGTTAAAACGTGAGAGTTGCTTTGCTCCTGCCAGGTTTCACCTCCCAGGGAAGGCTCAGAACAGCAGGTGAGGAGCAACAGGTCCCAGCACGTCCTCAGCAGGACAAGTTGTGGGCAGAGGGGAAGGAGCATTCCCTGTCCACTTCCCTGGCTCAAGGTCTGCCTGGTGGGATGAGAGAAGAACCAATCTCCTCTTTTCACTCATTTTCGCATCCCCACTTTCAGACACAGGCACATTTCAGTGATGCTTTTCATAAAGAAAAGACAAGACAAAGCAACCACTGGGACACAGTAAGCTTGGGCAGAGATACAGCTACACTTTGTTTTGGAAAAATCTCTTTTCACCTCAAGCCAGCCATCAGAGAATGGCAGCTGAACAGGCTGAATACAGCTGTTGTCTGAGCTGGTCCTCACTGAGCCTTTATTCCAGCCCCGGAGGGATGGGGTTTTACCTCCATGGGGATGCGCTGGAGAAGGAAGGCAGTCTAAGCTGCATGCTCTTTATGTGAATGGACCTGAAAACAACACCTACACAGCACAGGTGTAGCTGGATTTTACTTAGAGAGGAAGAAGAGAGTCAGGGCTGCATCCCACCACATCCCTACAGGTCAGTAAAGGTGGGCAAAGGAAGAGCAATGCCACCTTTACTCCTGCATTCCCAAACTAGTCATGATCCATATCCACAGTGACACCTGTGTCAGACCCATCACACAGTGTTTCCATACATGATCTGCCCAAGACACATTCAAGCACTGGTACATTTACCACTGCAAAGCTGCTCTCCCACTCCTGAGCCTTCCCTAAAGCTAAATACCAAGAGATCGCTTTAGGATTAAACAGGCACAGATGTCCTCTTAGCATGACTTTCCCATGGAAGTTGCATCCTGGTGGCTCTGGAGAGCTGTTTGCTACGAGCTGTGCCATTCTCTGTATTGCAACACACCAGGGAGAGGGGAGAAGCTGCTTTGAAGCATTCACCCTGATGTAGCAAACACACACAGTGAGGCTGAGAGCAGGCACGCAGCACAAGTTCACAGTGAGACAGAAATACAGACACACAGAAACAAATAACTACCAGCAAAAACAGACTCGAGAAGGAGTGACACCACCCTCACTGCAAGTGGATAGCACAATGACTGCAAGTACAGGGCTGTGTTTAAGGGGAGCCCCCAGCTGCCATTCCAGGACCCACTGCATCCCCCCCAAGCAGCAATCCCTCTGCCATGCACAGGACTATCACGTTACAAGCTGCCACTCTTCAGTGACACAAACACAGCAGAAAAAGCCAAAGCCGGTCTCTCCCATGGGAGCAGAGCAGAGCTCCCAGAGCTCTGCCCCAAAATCCCGAGGGCAAGGATGGTGACAGCAGCAAGAGGGGCTCCCAGGGGGTGCTACACGGGGAGCAGCCGGCTGCCAAAACACTTGTGGATTGACTGACAGAACATATTTGGCACAGAAAAACATCTCCCCCAAACCCTGAATCCAGGCACTTTGAAAGCAATACCGGGACCAGCTCAGAGCCAGCTCGGAACCCCCCCGAGCACCTTCCCAGCGCCGCCTCGATGCTCTCCACCCCACGGCACGGAGCAACCGGCCCGGAGCGAGAACACGCAACCGGGACAGGTGCCGGGATGCCGTTCCAAGGAAAAGCCGGGACGCTGAGCCGGGCTGTTTTTTATTTTACCTGGTAGACATCGCGGAGGCCACACCAGGCTCGCAGCGCCTGCCGGCACGCCCGCAGCCGGGCCGCGTAGCACCGCCGCAGCGCTGCCACCGTCACCGTCCAGAGCAGGCGGCTGCCGCCCAGCAGCAGATCCTCCACCCCGCACATCAGCACCGAAGCCATGAGCTGGGCACACGAATCCCCCGGGCACGGCTGGCTGCTGCCTCGCTCAGACGCCTGGCATGAGGCTGCCCGGCTTCACTCTGCTGCACAGAGCCGGGGGTCAAGCCTTAAAACAAACTCCTCTTTCACGGCGCTTCCTGGGCAGATTCCCAGGCATGCCCCGGCTCCTGACGCCCAGCCAGCGGCTGCAGTAGCTCAGCCCTACCAGCAGCTCACACAGCAGCCTTGTCCTTAGCGGCTTATATAAAGCTCTGTTAAGCTGCACTAGCTACCACTATGTTTTCTAATTAAACGTTAACCCTTTTGCCATATGCGCCCTGACAACAGCCCCACTGAGATGCTGCAGAAGGAGAGGAAGGCGCTCAGCGCTGCCGCTCCTCAGTGAGCTGGGCAGGCGCTGCACACACGAATCCCGAGCTATCTGCCTCCAACACCTCATTATCCGCTATACGGGGAACAAAGCTGTCATCGTTTTCTCGCGGCTGAGCCCGTGCTCAAATTATACAGTAGAAATCCTACTTGAAAAAGGCAATTCTGGGAACCTGCAAGTGGAGGAAAGCAGGGGGGGGTTGGAGGGGAGGGTGGCGAATCAGTCCTGCAGAAATAGAATAGCTTGGAAGAGACCTTAAAGTTCATACTGTCCCAAACCCCCTGCTATGGGCAGGGACACCTTGCACTAGACCAGGTCACTCAGAGCCCCATCCAACCTGGCTCTGAACACAACTTGTGCCAGTGCCTCACACTAAAATAGATGCACTAACTTCTCTTTCAGCTCTGACAGCACAGAACCATCCCTCCGTTCAACACTTCCCCCTTGGTTGTTGCATCATATGGGTTAAAAACCCCAAACATGCTTAAGAGATTATTAAACTGTGCTCTTAAACTAACTCCATTAACACAGCACTTGCTGCATGAGGAAAACAAAGCTGGGCATTGTCGGGGAGCTCTTCACAACAGCCCGCAGCAAATAAACACTGCCATAATAACCCACAAGAGACTCCAGCCTTGCCTTGAGCCAGTTTAAAATTAAACAGCACCCTGCCCTTCTGGGGCTTAAAGTGTTAAAGCTCCCAAGCCGAACCTTCCATTTGAGCGCTCTTCCCTATTACAAGCTAAGGGAGGGTGGAAGACAAAGTATGATTAATCTTTTTAAAACCCCCCTCACAGGATTTGACACTTTCTAAGCTTTTTGGGGGAAAAAAAAAAGCTGTGGGGAGCCCAACATGTTACCATCAGCACCTTGTTGAAGAAACTATTCAAGGAGCAGATTTTTGGCTAAAATCATCAGCAAGGCTGACCTGTAAGAGCAAACTCTTGTGCAGTGAATGGAAAGGAGCAGGAACAGCCTGTGTACAAGGCTGGGTGGGCGAGCTAAATCCCACCAAGCTTCCTCAAGGGCACTGCCTGCCTGTCCCAAATGTCCCCACGGGAGGAAGACACCTGTGTGCCCACAGCAGAGTGGAAGCATTCACAAACCCCACTTCATTCCTTATTCATCAACCTGCTCCAAACTGCAGGAGCTCGCGCGCCGTGAGCGCCGCTGTGGCAGCTGGGTGATGTAATCCTGCAGACAGATGCCTGCCTGCCTGTTTGAGACAGGCTTTGGACCTGTGACTCCAAGATCTCCCTCTTCCCTTTCATGCATGACAGAGTGAAAGCAGCCCTGGTCCTCTTGGTGCTGGTATCCCTTGGCTGTGCTGTTGCCAGGGGGTTCTGGTCACTCCAAGCCTTGCTTTCGCACTGGGAAAACAACGACCACATTTCAAATGGGTAAGAAGCTGCTGTAAAGTGAGACCAAGCAGAGGAGGATATGGCTTCTTGTAACAAGAGATAAGCAAAGATTTGGGCTCTACATTGAAATCCAGCATCCATATTCCCACTGCAAGGGTTTTATCATCCCCTGGAATTACTTAGAGCCTGTAGCCACAAAAAAATCCCTCCTCCTCCTGTGCTGCCCACCACTGTGTTTAGAGGACTTTGACAGCAATCCACAGGTACTAAAGAGAAAAGGTTTCCCTCTTCCACTGGGGGAGAGTGGTGACAAATATCCATGGGGTTATTCCAATAGCCTGAGCCAGTCCCAGTGCCAGGCTGGGCAGCAGGGAATTGCCATTCCCTCACAGAACACTGCTTTGGAGAGGAATCAGCCAGGAAAATCTCCAGCAGCATCCGTTCAAGTCATATCCAAATTTAAACACAGAGATAAAAAAAAAATCCAGTTTTCAACTGCCATTTCTAAAAGAAAAGAAAAGGGCCCTTGTAGCTAAAGAAACAGTGCAGGGAACTGTCCTGTGCCAGGAAAATCCAACCAACCCACGAGGAAAAGTTTACGTGGTTTTGTGCTGTGCCTGCTGCCCTCAGTGCCTTTTTGTTTTGCCTTTTTTCCCCCCATTGCCTAACTGGATTGAAAAATAAGGATGATGATTTTCTCTTTTAACAGAGCACAGAAGATTTGTGTGGGGTTTTTTCGGTTTTGGGTTTGTCTGCATGTTTGGTTTGTTTCAATAGCTCTGTGATCCATGGCATCTTTACAGTGAATTTACATGTTCTGCATAGTTATTCTTTAGGCTTCACAAGCTCCTGTGAGCCTGAGCAATGGCCTCAGATACTCCATTTCAGGAGGCAGAGCCAGAGGTACTCAGGCCTTCCCTCCTCGGTGCTCCCAGCTGCTTTTCCCATCAATATTCCCATCACCTTGTGCAGGCTTTATGCTCCTGCAGCAAAGTTACAGCTCCATGGGTAGGCTGGAGCAAGGCAAGAACGTTCTCTCCACTCTGATTCAGGGCACGTGGACTTCAAGTCCAGTCTCGTGAACAGAAACTTCACCCATTTTTTTCATCCCTTGGTGACAGAACAAGAATTAAGTCCCATCTGGAGTTCACCTTCCCAGCTGACCCAAGTACAGGAGTGCACTGTCCCTTGAACCTGAATAGTATTAAACACACACAGAAATAAAAACAGCAAAGGAAGTTTGTGGTGCAAAGAGCAGCTAAATGCAATTTAGGATAATTCTGGTGCAGTTATATGCAGCTGATGAATTATCCATTCACATCAGTCTTAGTCTTTTATTGACTTCCACTCTAAGAGCCTGACTGCATGTGGGTTAGTTTGAAATACCTAAATAATACCCAGGCTCCTTAGAGTCAGAACAGAAAACAAAATTCAGCACGGGAAAGCCAGCAGGATAAATACCCAGGTGGTTTCCAAAGGCTGTACCATCCAGATTTCTATTCTGTGAGGAAAAGGAGGGGGAGAGAGCTCTCAGAAAATGTCTTTGTAGATATATGTACCACTGTCAGGGGAGCACAAGAGACAGCTACTGCAGATCTGTTTGATGTGCAGTCATATGAACAACACAGCATTCACTGCTGATAAGGAATAAGCCTACACAACAGTGATCTAAGGAGGATGTCACTTTAAAAGGCAATAGAAAACTTGATGTGTGGCAGACTCATGCTTCTCCTCACATTATTGACTGCAGATCCAGAATAATGAGTAATAAAAAGAACAAAGGTTTGCTACCAACATAATAGGAAAAGATGATCCCAAGTGGATTCTCAGGCTTCCTTGCATGTTATCTTCTATGCCAAAATTAATGGAATGAGGCTTAGCTGAATTGCTGCTCCTCTTTTCAAAGTTCATGCTCATATGAAGTTCACATGAATGAAGAATTCATTTGCCTGTGAGGCCAGAGGACAAGAGCATCAATCTGCTTTTAAATCTACAATGCAGTACTGCTCCTAGATAGGACTTTTGATTAGGCATACAGGAAAGGACACACACACACAAAGTCCCTGGTGATAGCAAATGAAATTAAAGCTTTGATCATTTTCAGTCTCTGAACCTTCCACAAAAAAAGGTGAGTTATTGTGCAGATGCATAAAATGTCTAATTCTGCAGCTCACAGATGTCTGTCCTGAGCAGAGCTTTAAAACATGCTCGAATCCATAATCTGCACTCACATTGATTACCCCTGATTGCAGCCAGTATTTGTAACATCTCAAAGAGCGAGCAGTAAAGCTCAGGGAACACAAAATAAAACCCAACTCACAGAGAGCCCTCACAAAGTTACAAGAGACAATTCTGTTTCATGGCACACACCACCATTGACATCTGCTGTTACCTCCACTCCAAGGGCTCCAAGCCTGAAGCCCTGGGTGGGCTCAGGGCAATCAGAAGCATCACTGAGGTCTGTGCTGGAACCCAAAAACCTCCTAGTCCTCTGAATTCCCACCAGAACCAGCTGCAGTCCCACTTCATCCTGCTTCACCCAGACGTGTTTCTCCTTTCTGTACAAATCTCTGTGCAGATCTGCATGAAAAGCTTCCCGTTTTGCTCAAGTTAGAAGCCAACAGCACACAATTACACTGCCTTTAAAAATAAACTTAAGACCTGCTCAAAGGTGCTGTTTTGTAGGCGGTTTCACAAGCATGAACAACAGGATTACTTGGGAATTAGGACTTTCAGACAATGCTGAAGGCTGCATATCCCCTACAACTTTATTTTTTAAATTCCTGTCATGAACCAAGCCTGCCAAGCTGTGGGCATTAATGCAATTAACCCCAAATAAAGATGAAGTGACTTTTCAAAAATTGCTTTTGCTGCGCTCTGGCCCTTAACTACCAACTTAAATATAAAGTGAAAGGCAGACACTGGGCACCCTCTCTTTGATGTTCTAACCTCTCAGTACATAAGATGCTTAAGCAGCAGCACCAGTGCACAGGATAAATCTGTAATCCAACCTGCCCTGATCGAGAGCTTCTGACACCAGATTCAACTTCTGGTAAAAGTGTTTGCAAACCAATTCGATTCCTTGAGATTATCAAAAAGAATTAATCATAATGTGCCTCTAACTAACCTACTTAATCCTCTACATAGCACAAATCTGGGGACCTCTCAGAAATTAAGTCTACTCTTCCACAAAGATTTATTTACTGCCATTCACATTATCAAAATTTAATTTAGAAAGAATGAAAGGGCCGTTCTCCTTTAAGGCTAACAACAGCATCCAGCGCAGCTATTTATTTAGCAGGTTCTACACCAGGAATTCCAATTCCCAGCTTTTGCCCACTGAACTGCACCTGTGTCAAGTGCCTGATGTAGCTGAAAGCCACAACTACACCCAAAATGATCCACAGCTCCAGAGGGAGGCTGATGCCTAATGCTCCCCTCTCTGGATGAGGCACAGCCTCTAATAAGCTTATTTAACAGCTGCCTTACATATTTCTAAATGAGGTGCTGCTGTCTTCCCTCCTCTCCCAGAGCCTGGGCTGTACTATATTGCTCTACACTAATAAGGTAAACATAACACCGTGATGAACACATTTTTAAAGATGAACAGCCACAGTGCCAGAAACACGAATTTCCTGCAGTCTGGATTCCATAGTAAACTAATTAGCACTTCACATCAGAAATGAAGTGCCACAGTCTTTTAACTTTATAAATTATTAAGCAGCTGCTGTCTGATTCCTCGAAGAGCAGAATTCATACCTGCC